AATAAAATAATATTTAACATTTCGAGTATTTAATTTGACACAAATAAACCCGAAGTGCTAAGGTTGGGTTTGGCTATATATAGATATATATATATATATGGGTTCTTTTAAATGCAATCCCAATGAGCATTATTAATGCAGCATTATACTGCTTTAATATAGATAGTTAAACATGAAATATGGGCAAGTGGATGGCAACAAGAGTCTGAATCCATAGCATTATTAGAGGAACAAGGTGTTTAGACTCTCTCGAAGTTTATGTCTATATTTAGATAAAATTAACTGAACAGTTTTTGGTGGTGTAGTATTGTTATTATTATTAGGATTAGCTATTGTTCAATTTATGGCCACCAAATGTTTATTAGCATTCTTAATGATTATTTTTCAGTCTCTCAATTTTTTTTTTTAAAAAAAGAAGTCTTATGACGAAGCTAAAAAGCTTCTGGTCATTTCCAGCCACATAAAAATAACTGAAAAATGAATTTTAGTGGTGACCTTTTGATTACCAGGATTAGTTATTGGGCGCATGAACTTACTATCTTTTAAGTCTAGGAAAGTACTTTTATTCAATTTTAGTCTTGAGAATCTGAGTCAAATCAAACTATTTTTATTTTGTTCTTTCATTCTGCAGGAGCCATATGAAAAGGAGGCGATCATATTAAAGTCTTGACTGGTATTACTTGTTGTGTCACTTCATGCTGTCATGTATTGTTAGTTATTATGTGATTGTTGTTTGTGTGTGTGTATAAATATATCATATAATTTAAAAAAATTAGTTAATTATAATAATTATATTTAAAAATAAAAAAATTAAATTAAAATATCTCATATTAATCAATATAAATATGTATTAATTATTTTCTGTTAATATAAATTATGAAGAATAATTTAAAAAATGTAATAAATGCTTATTGAAATATATGATTTTGTTTATATAAAAAAAACAAGTAAAAAAAAGGAGGGAGTATGATTTGTGATGAATTGTTGCAATAATTTGAAATTATTTAGATAATTTTAAAAAAAATTAGTACAAGTTTTAATTTAATTTTAATTCATATAAACTTTAAATAGGTTGAAGATTTGTTTAAAACCTACTCTTGTAAGATTTGAATAGGCTTCAAAACTTACTTAAAACTCAACAAGTCTTTTTAAAAAATTTACTTAAAATTAGTGTTCTTATAGTCGGATTGGATATGACAGACAAATCAGACTGGTTGGCAACTGTTTAATATAACGGCTCAGTTTCCATATTTAGGCCATTGAAATAGTTGGCTTGGATTGAGCTATCCAGAATAGGATGTTGAGTTGAAAATCGGGATTTAGTCGAAAACTGAAATCGAACGGGTCAGATTTTTTGTTTAATGAGAAAATAGAAGAAAGAGAAAGAAAAAAAGAGAGGGAGATGATAATCAACCCAAGAAGACAATGAATCAAGTTGAAAACAGATTTTAAAAAAATGGAGAAAATGATGCTTTACCTTTTCTTCTATGAATAATGGCAAGAGGATAGAGGAGGTATCCACTGCACCAGTGAAAAAAAATAAAAAAAGTGTGGCGAAGCACAAACAGTGAGACAGAGACCGAAGATGACAACCCGGTAGAGAGAAGAGTGGAAAACAAAAAAAAAAAAAAAAAGGTACACACAACCCTTGGAAATAGAGTTGGGGAGGACTGTTCATTTAAGTTTATTTTTATAAAAAATTAAATTTAAAAAATGATATTGTTTAAGAAAATTAGGCTTTCAAGCCCGATCCTGATAGGCCTTAAAAAAACAGACTCAAGCGACTCTTTTAGGCTCATTTTTTTCTTTAAAAAATAAAATATTTTTTACTTTTAAATTGAATTTAAACTTTATAATATATGTTTATACTTTAAAATTAAAATTTTTATTATTTATTTTTAATTTTTATACATTATAATTTGTATTTTTTAAAAATATATGAAATCTTATAATTAAAAATTTTAATTTTTAAAAATTTCAAAAAAATAAAAAATAGTAATAAGAGTTTATGAGCTTAACTCTGAACTCTTTATATAAGAGCTAAATTTTAAAAAATAAGACATTTTAAAAAAATTAAATTTAAAAGTTTAAGCCCCTTAAAAGTTTGATTCATGAGAGTCGAGCCCCCCATTATTCAACTTTACTTACAAAGCAAGGTCTTTAAAAAATGGAAAGGAAAAGAAAAAAGTGCGTCTTGATATTGTAAAACTGTAGACTACTAAACTAATGCTAAAATTTGGAAGTTGTGATTAGATCAGTTAAGATTTAATAGAAAATAAAACCTATATTTTATTAAGTCAATACGAATCACAAACGTTGGTGAAGGAATTTTTTGAAAGGTTTCTATTTAATTTATATAATAGAAATGTTCTTATCTGAAATTTTATTCTTGATATTATTATTATTATCATTTTTTCTTATTTTGTATAACACTAAAATCAACCATCAATATATTATTAAAATATATTAATTTAATTATAACTGGTTCAATTATGACTCAACCATGGTCCAACTAATAAATAAAAAATTAATGTCTTAACTAGTTTAATAACTAGTCTAACTTTTAAATCATTACTTAAAACATGTAAGTCTTTAAAAAGATTTTAAGTTATGTTAGGTCTATAAAAGACTCAGACCTGTACTTAAAATAAAAGTTTGTTTGCAAGTTCAAGTCTTAGCTCAGCTGCCTAGGTTTGAGATTTTTGTTATATGTTCATGCTTATTTGAACAGAGTTAACCAAACGTGTTTCCATCCTCAAGGAATGGAGACATAGCATAATATAGCGTGAGGGTGGGTGAGTGTTATTTTTTCCCCTTTCTTTTTAATGCATCTTATGTTATATACACATTGGTGTGCGTGCTATAAACGACCTGCATCAAAAAAACACATTACCACTGAGCCAAATATAAATCAGCGGACCGTAACCCTTTTCTTCTCGAAATTTTTGTTTTTACAAATATTTGTAAGTATATTGGTGGCTTTACACTCCACTTGAGTTAACTAGCCCAACATAATGGGCTTAGCCAATCAGATCAAACAGACCCAACATGTAGAAACTAGCTGTCCCACTGTAACAGGCCGAAAAGAGGACCTGTTGCTTTTGTTCTTTTGACCAAAAGGACATATCGTACGCAAGTGTCAAGTTTTAGTTGCAAAGTCATTTTAAGTTGGGTTAAAAATCTTTTTTTTTTTTTTACATATTTTGAACACTAAACAGCCTGTACTAAAAAATAAGGCAATGTCTTCCTAAAATATTTTTTTCAAGGTTAAAATTGCCCTTTCATCTGGAGCCAGTTATGCTCTCCATTATTTGCTAATATAGAATAGTTATACGGGGAGCAAAACCGAACCTGAAATCGATAAACGAACAAAACTAAATTGAGTTTGATCTATTCGGTTTAATTTATTTGGTTTAAATGGTCGGTTCAATTTTTTTTAAAAAAAATTCAGTTTAAATGGTTCGGTTTGGTTTGAAGATTGCAAAACTGAATTAACTGAAATTAATTATATATGTATTTATAAATATTATAATTGATTTATTATATTATTAAGGATTGTTTTTTTATTAATATTTTTTAGAAATGCTAGTAGTATATTTGATTTTTTTATTTTGATATGCTTTTCTATGTTGTTCAGTGTCCATTCTATTGTTTTTGGGGATTCCTTTTGTTTTCCTTACTATTTTTATCTGTTATGTTAATTTTATAGTTGTTTTAGGTTTCAAAAATCAAGATTTCACAAGGTCCATTAGACCAGTCCAGATCATTTTTCTCCCTTTAGTTAGAGGCATTTGGTGTTTAAATTATTTCTTAATTAGTATGATATTTTTTCTTGAAGATAGGCCAATTTGTTGACAAAAAAAGGCCCAATGTGTTAACAAAAGCAGGCCTAATTTGTTGACAAAAAGCGCCAATAACCGAACCGAACTATTAAATTTCGATTCTATTTTAATTCAGTTTTTTCAAAACTTTGGTTTAGTTCGGTTCAAAAATTTATTAAGCTTCGATTTGTCGGTTTTCTTCAATCACAACCGAACCAAACTAAATTAACCGATGCTCTCCCTTACTTTCACGCAATGACAATAAGACATTTTGATTTCTAACTCATTTTGCATATATTTTGTTACTTAAATCAAGCTTGATTCCTGTTACTTTCAGCCTTTTTGGCACACATCAAATGGTCAAAACTGAGTTAAAATGTTTTACTGTCATGGTGCATGGGATCCACAAATATGTCGCATCAGTAGATAAAGAAAAAATAATGGGCTTTTAATGGACTGGCGATTTTGAAAAAAAATAAGAAGCTAGTTATTGTGTATATCATATCATGTTGTATTATACAAGATATGCACCGGTATGGATGATACTTATATTTGAAATGGATTGAGATTGAAAACAAAAAAAAAAAAAAAAAACTAGAGATCCATGTGAATTTGAAGATGTGACATGTTTGACAAAAACTCTCGAGGTAAAGATTAGGATAGCCAATTGGAGGTTCGTCTCCATGATTATGCAAGCACTGACGTTTATGTTCTAAACAAGTGCCAACTGGCGGCCACGACGAGTGGAATGTTTAGTCCATGGACAAAGAAAATACCTCAAATGCATCTCATAAATTAATTCTCTTGCATAAATGTTGCTTCCAAGGAATAAGAATATGTTGACCAAATCTTAATTTTTGGCGTTCTTTTTAGTGATAAAAAATCAATGAAATTGACTTTATATTATGATATGCTTTTAATTATTTTTTGTCTATAGCCGGCAATGATTTCTGTGAAGCTTCTGGGTCGTCAGGATTGATCGAATCAGATGCTAAGACAGCATTTCTTAATAGCATTACTTGCGCAATACAAATTCTTCATAAACCATTTATAATTTCTCTAAACTTCCAGTGTAAGACCACTTCTTCTCTGGTTGTTTTATATATCATCTGTTTCAGTTCCAATTGTTCACATTTTACCAAACTAGTTGTTATCAAGGCTTATGAACAACCATCATAATTCCAAGAAGAAAGTTCTTAAAATTTCCTTTTATTCAGAACCACAATAATTCATTTTATTTATAAATCAATACTGATAAACACCACAGAAACAAAAGTACAATTTACAGATAGGCAAATACAACAACAAACATCAGCAGCAAGTCCAACAACACTGGAAATGAGTTCATTAGTTAAGTGAAAGAGCTCAGGAGGAGGATGCCGATGTGAACTGGAAAGAGGCATAAGAGAGAGTTCCCATTTCAATGCCACTGTGGATGAGCTTGGCCTTGGCATTTTCACCAGCAGCTCCCAGTGCAACATGCAATGGGAAAAAATGATCTGGCCATGGATGAGCCATTTTTGCATGAGGTGCCTTCTCTTCATAATGATTCACATCTTCATATCTACAATTAAAATTTCAATCAATAAGAAGTTCAAGTTTTAATTTATGGGGGAAAAAATCTCAATTATACCTTTCACAAGTGTAATTAATAAAACTGGAGTTTCATAGTTCAGATATGCATTTATCAAATATGAACTGAGGTCCCAGGTTCAACTCTTCACAAGACGACTCATGAGTATGTTGTTATAAATGCAGTAAACACAGAAAGCAGTTGAGAAAAACAGATGTAATACAGGGAAGCAATAAAATAGGTACCTTCCTTCAAGGAGAGAACTGATTAACCAGTCATCAAATTCTTTGGCCCAGGAAGCAACAGGTGGGTTAGGTTGAATCTTGAGTGCTCTCAAGTTATGAACTGCACTTCCAGAACCCATTATGAGTACGCCTTCATCCTTGAGAGAAGCCAATGCCTTTCCCATGTTATAGTGGTAAGTCCCATCCTGATCAGATTGAACAGATAGTTGACAGACTGGGATATCAGCTTCAGGGTACATCAATATGAGTGGAACCCATGCTCCATGGTCAAGCCCTCTCTTTTTGTCTTCATCCACACGGCTGAATCCTGCTTGTTGCAGCAGCTCCTTCACCCTCTTTGCCAATTGTGGTGCTCCAGGTGGTTGGTACTTAAGCTGGTAGGTGAAGAATGAATCAGACAGTCATCAAAATAAACCCCAAAAAATCAACTAAATACACCATAACTATCAACTACAATGTTAAGTTGAACCAAAATCACCTGTGTCTCAAGTCATTATCATCAATATAAATTTATAATGTCTTTAACTTTCGGTTGCCTCAGAAGGAACCTTCAATTCCAACTCTGAGATTCTGATTCATACCAGATCTCCATCATCATCATAATCAGATTCTAATATTTTCAAAACTAGTTGCCTAATTGAAAAGGAACGATCAACAATGATCATCTATTAAAACCTAAAGGTTTCTGTTTCTGATTCTGTGAGATTTAACAATGGAGAGGAATCCGAACCTTGTACAATTCTTTGGGAAAGCCATAGAAGTCGTAGATGGTGTCGTTGCGCTTAACGACGTTGACGGAGGGGACGGCAGTGTCCCAGTGGCCGGAAATGACGAGGATGGCGGAGGGTCTTTCAGGGTAAACCTCCTTCCACTTCTTCAAGAACTGCGTCGCCGGAATGGAACTGTCTATGGGCAGAGTGGGAGATCCATGGGAGATATAAAACGTATCCTTCAATCCCATTATTGTTTTTAATCGCTGAATTTGAAGAAGATGATTCTGTAACACAAAATCTGATGAACAAAGTCGGAATAACAGGTAAATATATAGTAGTATTTTTATATACAGAATTAGCCGTCTTTGACTTGATAGCTTCAAATTGAATCGGATATGGCTGGCCTTCTCTTCTACGCGTTCGGATTTTTGAGACTGAAGACCAAACCAGTTTTTGTTTATATATTCCAGAAGAGCGTTCGGTAATGAAAACAGACAAACGTTCTAAAAATTGGATTCGTCATTGATTCGGTAACAGCACTGACTTTTTTTTTTTTTAATTACGAGGTCATGATAAAATCGTATAAAGAGACTAAAATCTAATCATATCTAAAATCATAAAGTTTCTACAATTAAGCACATTTATTTGCTTATCTATGAACATGGTCAAAAGTGACTTTTGACCATCTAATCTCTCATAACAAGATCTTTGATCTTCTTGATAATGTCAAAATAAGGATGACTCTCAGAGTAGGTGTGATTAATGAGTGACAATGCCTCCATTGAATCAAAGTGTATATTGACTCTTGATAATTTTGCATTCCAGCAAAGATTTAGTCCCCCAAGAATTCTCATAAATTCTATTATCATGCTAGATTGATATCCAAGATACTTAAAAAATTCTTTAATCTAATTTTTCTTATCATCTCTAATGATGCCTCCACATACTGTGGCATCATTAGTATTAACAAAATTGTCAATATCAAGTCTAACTCATTTGAATTTAGGTGTATTCTATTTTTCATCATCTGTAGAGTTGCAATTACTCAAGCTGATGATGCACTAACTTTTAGTTTCAAGTTGGAATCACAGAAGTAAAATGGAAAAGCCATTGGAATAAAGAAATTATTATATTAGAAACCATAATGCTTAAATTTAAATTTAATTTCTTTGCTGAAAATTTGAGCTAGTTCATTATCAACAAATAATAGTATTAACTTTTAGTGTCTTGGCCCTCTTTAGTAATTTTATCTGTTTGTGTCTGTAATTTTAATTTTTAACATTTTTTTTACCATTTTTTAGTTAATTAATAGTCAAAGTTAACTTTTGTTAATTATAAAAATTAAATTGCACTATTTTAAAAATAAAATGGAACATTGCAAAAGAAAAAAAAAGAATTTAAAATTTTAGACACTTTAGACATATAATTTAGTGACCAAATTACTCTTTTACTCACATATATATATATATATATATATATACTCATAGCATGTTTTGTGTAACAGCCCTCCTGGGTCACCACTGCCTCTCCAGGGTCTTTTCCCAGGCGCTGGACAACACACATGTCACCACATGATTGCCGGCTTTCCCACTGATGGTACAGTGGTTATTCCTCACCCCACCCTCACGGGGGTCTTTTGGAACCTCCCCAGACTCGAACCTCCAACCTCTACCACCTTAACGAAGTTGAGGCGAAGTCTGGTACCATTAGGTCAACTTGACCTAATGGTACCAGAGTTGACCTAATGGTACCAGACTTCGCCTCAACTTCGTTAAGGTGGTAGAGGTTGGAGGTTCGAGTCTGGGGAGGTTCCAAAAGACCCCCGTGAGGGTGGGGTGAGGAATAACCACTGTACCACCAGTGGGAAAGCCGGCAATCATGTGGTGACATGTGTGTTGTCCAGCGCCTGGGAAAAGACCCTGGAGAGGCAGTGGTGACCCAGGAGGGCTGTTACATAAAAGTAACTATGCTTTTAATTTGTGATTAGTGTTACTTCTTGTTAATTGGGTGATTATTGAGAAAATTATGAATTTTGTAATATTGTATAATTGTGCAATATTATTATGAATTTGTTTAATTATTGTGGGAGGTGTTGGGAGACTTGCTATTGTTGTTGTATTTATGTGCCACGTGGTACGCCCCTATTGGAGCTCAATAGGTGGTTTGTAAGGGCTCGGGCTAATCTACCTTTGGCCGGGTAATTTAGCACCGAGTGAGGGCTACGGCTCGAGGTTAATAGAGGGATATAAGGATGGTTGTTTGTGTTTATTATAATATTTCTTATATTTATTGGAATTATATTATTTTTATATAACAGCCCTCCTGGGTCACCACTGCCTCTCCAGGGTCTTTTCCCAGGCGCTGGACAACACACATGTCACCACATGATTGCCGGCTTTCCCACTGGTGGTACAGTGGTTATTCCTCACCCCACCCTCACGGGGGTCTTTTGGAACCTCCCCAGACTCGAACCTCCAACCTCTACCACCTTAACGAAGTTGAGGCGAAGTCTGGTACCATTAGGTCAAGTTGACCTAATGGTACCAGACTTCGCCTCAACTTCGTTAAGGTGGTAGAGGTTGGAGGTTCGAGTCTGGGGAGGTTCCAAAAGACCCCCGTGAGGGTGGGGTGAGGAATAACCACTGTACCACCAGTGGGAAAGCCGGCAATCATGTGGTGACATGTGTGTTGTCCAGCGCCTGGGAAAAGACCCTGGAGAGGCAGTGGTGACCCAGGAGGGCTGTTATATTTTGTCAATAATAAAATAACATAATATAATTATAAATCAATAATGTTATAAATTATAATTTTATAATTTATTAAATATAAGTGAATTTTAATTAAATCAAGTATGAGTATGTATAAAAGTATTTACATTTATAAATATAATTGTCAATATCTTTTTAAAAAAATAATTTAAAATCATAGAGACTTTTGATTATTCGAAATGCCATGATTCTATTGAAGTTCATAGAGACTTTTGTTTCAATAAATTTTAAAATAAAAAAATTATTTTATCCTTATTGAAAATAATAAATCTCAATTATAATTTTTATTTAAAGAATAACAGCTTTTATTCTGTGAATCCTAAAAGTTAAACAAGAAATCACAACTTATTAAATATAATTTCTGTTATTAAAAAATAAGTTCATAAAATAACAAACCTTAATCATAATTTTTACTTAAGAAATAACCACTTTTGTTCTGTAAATTGTAAAAGTGAAACAAAAAATCACAATTTGTCAAGTGTAATTTTTATTATTAAAAAATAAGTTCTCAAAATAATAAATCTCAATCACAACTTTTGATTAAGAAATAGCAACTTTTATTTAAAAAATTATAAAAATTAAACAAAAAATTATAATTTATTAATAAAGGTAAAATGATCTTTTAAATTTAAAATTAATTGATACATAAATCTCAAGAGAATTTATTAAAATTATAGTATTTTAAAAGATAAAATAATTATTTATATAATTAGAAAGATTTCATTATCGTAAAAAGAAGTCAACAATTGCAACATCCTAATCCAATAAGATAATGACTGATTAAGGATTGGGAAAATTATGAAACTCATTTGTTCCCCTTACTTTTGGTTTTGATTGTTTCTATTGCTAATATTTAACTGATTTTTAAGTTTAGTTATAAATTGATTGATTGACTTAATTTGCAATTTAAAGTATGACTATTCTTTTCTCATATAGTAAAGATGAATCATGAATGCCCGTTAATGATGTCACGCAGACGCAAGTTGACGCCGACGTACAAACGATTATCATCATATAATAATTCATATAGCATTACGTAGTTCCGGAGGAGTTTACTCTGATGACAACCTTTTAAAAACAAAAACAAAAACAAAGAGTTTAATACACAGAATAAATTTTGTAAAATTATTACAAAATTAGGGAGAACATTGAGAAATATTAAACAAAATATATAGCGATGGTCAGTCAATTATAATTATAACATTGTTTTAGATGATATAACAATTTTTTTAGTACGTACCACAAAAAAAAATTGGATCAACATTATGAATATGCATTTTTTTGGTTCGCCATATTAGACTAATACCTTAAATTAAAAAAATTTAAGCATCATTGAATGAATTATTATCCTCCAAGCAATTGAATATGCATTTTTATATCCAATTAAAAAATAGCAAAATGATATTGAATACTAAGTGTTTACTGTTTAGCACATTGGAATTTGATTGTGGTGCTCTAAATTAAACATCTATTAGAATTATAAATTATCAACAATGAAAATAAGTTGTAAACAAGAGAAGCACCATATTTAATATTTTTTATGAGATTAAGTTATGAGTTTTTTGAAAAACAACTCTAAATTATCAAAACTAATTCAAAATTGCCAAAAATCAATTATCAATTATTTATTACAAAATCTTGTAAGGAGATGTTGACGTTGAATCGTAGCTCGTATGGGAAGAGTTAGGTTATGGTTACGTGTCACGACTGGTTAGGTAGGATGGGGTTAGATGTTGACATGGCCATTTTTGTCGGTTTCAAAAAAATATTTATCTGGACCAATATTACACAATTAACAAAATTTAATGTCCTTAAATTATTTTCTTTTATTTATGAAAAATAAAAAAGACTGTCTGCATCTCACAAGCATTTCTTCTACTATTAAAAAATATCTATATCATTAAAAAATAACTAAAAATTTAAAATTAAATTCTGTAGTTTTTATTTATTTATTTTAGAGTAGCAGATAATACATTCCACAATTTTAATGAGACATGTACATTTATATGGACTACGGAGCTTCAAATAAAATTATACTATTTATCGAACCACAAAATACATTATACCATTTATTTTATATATATATATATATATATAGTACAACTAGCGTATATATATATATATATATCTGCTGTCTTCAAAGTGGGGTTGAGACTTGAGAGTTGAGATTTGAAAAGACTTTGAAGTTGTCCATTTTTATTTTTATTTTTGTAACATGTAGAAATTGTTGAACAGAAGGAAGACATGCTATTAGTTTCTCGATGGTTTGAAATTCTCTCTTAAAAAAAAAATTGTTGACCATACATTTGCAATTTGAAAACACAGACTATGATTCTATATTCTTGCTAATATTTTTTTAATGCTAATAAAAATTTAAACATATAAAAGTTATTATTTTTAACTGATCCGAAATTCCAAATCACAAAAGCTCTGGACTTTGAATGAGTAGACTAACAAATAATGTTTTCAAAACCCAACAAGCTAGGTTGACCAATTAAACCAGTTCCAAACCCGACCCGTCATAATAGAAAATTGGCAAATTTGAGAATTGGTCGAAAACCAATCAAATTTGCCTTAAACAGATCAAAACTGATAAAATCAATTTGAATCAAACATACTATTTTTAATTTTTATTTAATTTTTTTAAATTTTTAATCCATATT